TCTTTTTCTTTTTTTTTTTCTTTTTTCTTTTTTTTTTTCCCCTCTCAGCCCCGCGCCTCTCTGCCATATGGCTGTAGGGCTGGAGAAATCCATATGGAGCCAAGTGTCAGGCTCCGGGATGTATGGACACCCTATGGAAGGCGCGTTCCCACCCCAGGGCAGAGCCCATGTGTTCCCCATTAGGCCCCCTCCACCTTAGCACAGCCAAAAAATAACATATATATACATATTTTTTAAAAAAATCAATATATATACATTAAAAAACCAAGAAGGCGGGGTGGTGCAGCCTCCCTTTCCCCCGTAGCCCCCCCCCGGGGGCTGCTCCCTATAGGGAGGGGGGGATGTACAGCAGGGCCTGGAGCCACCACACACACACCCCCACCCCCCCAGACAGCGCCCAACCCCATCCCAGTCACCTCCAGTCAGGCACTGGGCTCGCCCTCCCGCCTCCAGGTGCTGCCCAACCTGCAGCGAGATTTTGGGGGCAAATGATCTAATCCCGATTATACACCGAGGAGAGGGGGGGCGAGGTAGGGGGAGGAGGAAAAAAGGGAGGGAGAAAGGAATTTTAAGCCGATATTCCCATTAAAACGCCATCTGCCAGGGGAGGACACCAGCCTGGGAGGTAAAAACCTGAGAGAGAGAAAATAAAGATAAAAAAGTCCGAGTTGGGACAAGGAGCATCTCACCTTCCCCGAGGCCCAGCCTTAAACCCATTTAATCACCAAAATATATTAAAACCCCCATTTTTCCCCCCCATTCCCCATGCTCTGGGAAATGGGAAGAGCAGCACGAACCTTCTCCAGGGTGGGGGGAAAGAGGAGACTCTAAAGGAAAGCATCCCTTGACACCCCCCCCGACCACCACCACCAAAATCTGCCTTTTTCACCAATAAATGATATTTTTAAAGTCGATACTTGGCCAAAGTAAGAGAGGAGCAGGAATCTGCTCCAAGGCGGGGAAGGAGCACAGAAATATCCGCCCGGCGCGCCAACTTTTTGGGTTATTTACTGTTTATTCCATATGACAAAATAGAAGTTTCATCGCCCTTTCGCGGACGAAACGGCAATTAATAAATATACCGAGTACATCATTAACGGGGGGGAGGGGGAATAAGAGAAGTTACTGCACCGAATTTAGACAGAGATGTACAAATTTGGGTTCGCCTTGTTTTTTTTTTTTTTTTTCTTTCTCCTTTTAATATTATATATCTTAGCATTTAGCAAATCCCTAGCTCTTTTTGTCATTTTTTCCTCCGAATATTCCCATTTTTTCCCAGAGCTGCGAGGCCACCACCCAGCCGCCCTGCGCAGTTTGGTGGGGTTTTGGGTTTTTTTTTCCACGCCTTTTTGGTGGTGTTTATTTTTTTTCTTGCTGATTTCCCCCCTTCTCACCCCCCCACACCCTCCCCCCCAAAGAGCGCACAGGTTAGGACACTTAATAACAACCTAAAGAGCGATACATTAAATTTTTGCATGAAGCCTACAGCGGGGTGGGTTGGTTGGGGGGGTGTTTTTCTGTGGATTTTTTTCTCTTTTTTTTATCTTTTTTTTTTTTTGCATATTAATAAGAGATTTCCTTTGTCTGAGGGATTTGGGAGGGTACGGACCAGAGTCCATCCAGCAGCTCCCACCCCTCCAAAAAAAATAAATCAAAGTTTCCTCAAGGAAGCTTCCACCAGAAGTGATGGAACAGAAAAAATAAAAATAAACAACCCCAACAACAGCAACCACCAGAATTTAAAGAAAAAAAAGCAGGAGGACACTCCCCCCCAACCTCCCCTCCCAAGAATTCCTGCAATCCCACCTAAAGAGCCTCTTTGCTTTTCAACTTGGAATCTTTCTTCCACTTCATCCTCCGGTTTTGAAACCAGATTTTGATTTGTCTCTCGTTGAGGCAGAGGTTGTTGGCGATCTCAATGCGCCTCCGCCGGGTCAGGTATCTGTTAAAATGAAATTCTTTCTCTAGTTCCAGAGTTTGGTAGCGGGTGTAGCTGGTTCGGGAGCGTTTCCCATCCGTTTCTGGGGGGGAAAAATAAAAATAAAGAAAAAAAAAAAAAAAGGGAAGACACCGCATGAAAAAGCCAGAGAAATCCTGGATGGATTTTTTAATATATTTTTATTATATATTTTTTTAAAAATCTTTAGAGACCCGGTTACAAATCTAGAACATACAGAAGTTTGCTGTGGGGACGCGGGGAGAGAAGTCGCCTGAAATCCTTCATTCCCCAACACCTTCACCCCCCTCCAAGTCCCCCCCCCTCCCCTTCTTCCCCTTCTAAAGCCCAGATCAAACGCATGTAGATGAGCCAGAAGTGAACCTGTTTCCTCTCGGACAATAAGGAAGTGTACAAAGGAGGGAAATATCTTTTCTTGGGGGTCTTGTCTCTTTTCTCCCCCCCCCCCCC